CGAGGCCTTGCTTAGAGTGCTCGAATTTTGGGCAGAATGCCCTTTGGAAATGGCTCATTTCAGCCCACTTGCACCTTGGTTTCTTCACTTTGCTTTCCTCTTTAATGAAGTGGTTGGAGATGTTGGTTGGTGACCTTTTGGGTGGTAGATAAGGCAAGGAAGGCCACACATATCATTATCCCATATTCTACAAGATTAGAAGAGAGAGAAGAGAGCAAGGAGATAGAGTTCTTCAAGCTTGAAGAAGGGAGCACGAAAATGGAGGAGGTCTTCAAGCTTCTTCCTTCTTCCATTGCTCCTATGGGTAACTAAATCTTCTCTAGGGAGGTGATGAAGCCCCTCCCTTGTAAGCATGTTCTAGTGTAGATTTTACTTTTGGGATTTCAATGTATTATTGTTGGTGATTTTATGATCTAGAGCATCATATGTGTTGTATGAATTCTAATGTCTATACATGATTATTTTGAGCTATTCATCTTGTCTTAGATGGTTTCTCTTCCTAATCATATTGCTTGCATTTCCATAGTGACAATGGAAGTTAGATCATAGAATGGTTTTAATGGCATGGAGTTTGAGAACTTTGATAAATCATTGCTTAGGATGCCCTTTGATGGTTTATACTTGATTCTTAACTTTGTGTGCTCTCATCATTTAATTAAGGGCTTGATAATCTTTGGCTTTGGGAGCATGTTGAAGACTACACCCTAGTTTAGGTAGTTCAAGCATGTGAATCTTTGATGGATTATTCTTGTTTTTGATTTAATGAACCTCTTGAGGATAGTATAGCAACCAAGGGTTGTTATGTGTCATGACCATCATTTATGTTGATTTTCCCAATTTAATCTCAATCTAGAATTTGTATAGGGTTGGAGCGGATTCATTTCCCTAGTTTTTCTCTACTTGTATTTCATTTCTTTTTAATTCTTGCAAGTTTCTAATTTATGCAATTTCAATATTCTTAGCTTAAGTGACAAACAACAAAACCTTTATAAACCCTTCATCATTCTAGAAAGATTCTAGACACTAAGGTTGCCGTAAGACTAGCGCAGTCCCAGTGGTTCGACTTACCCGACCAATAGCCCTATTTTACAATGATTCGTGCTATTGCGAAGGTTGATGTTAATTGACCAACCGATCACCAAGGCACTTCCATTTCTTCAAACTTTCCCTCCTAATGAAAATGGTAGTTTGCCAAATTTTCATTTTAGGACATGGCATATTCCCAATGATGCTTGGATCAATTGGGTCGACTGAGTTGGAGCTGTAAAAGGATAGACGTGGAAAACTTGTGGTATTTACGATGCCATTCAACTGAGTAAAACAAATATTGCTCAGGACAGGGCTCTGATGATATCAGCTATTTTCAACTGGTCGACCACCACCAACTCCTTACACTTGAAGTGTGGCATGATGGCTCCAACCATTCAAGATGTATGTTATTTTACCAGCTTCAAACCTTTTGGAATTGATGTGAGTACTTTACTGGTAGAAGAGGACTTCCCCTTTATTTTTCCCTCTAAGCAAACTGGAACCAAATCCTCTAAATCCTCATACGGCAAATATTTAACCTCTACCATGGATCCTTGCGTTCTTGTAAATGATGCTGAGCATATTGTCTTTTTGTTAGCCTAGCTAAACAAATTCCTCCTATGTGTACCAGCCTTTCAAGTTACCAAAGATTACATTCATGTGGCCGTTGCTCTTTCCAAAGGTAAACCCCTTGCTCTAGCTCCTTTAATGCTATCCCATTTATATAGAGGAATTTATGACCTGCTTACCTCTAACTTTGGACGTTACGGTGGTCCCCTCTGGTTATTTCAAATTTGGCTGCAAGTTTACTTTCCTGAATTGGGGCCTGTGGTGAGGCCATCGGCCAATGACTCACTCCTTTCTGTAAGTTATGCATCGGCCGTGCCCAAATCTCACTCATTTAGAGATTGTTTTAATTTCTTCTACTCTGGCTGTGAACATAGAACCATCAGCCAGTACCTTCCATTTTCTCACTGTTCTCTAGCCCCTCGATGGCTGACTCCTCCTCAAGGAGTATCCACAAAGAAGACTACTGATGAGTTTTCAGCCATATGGGCCAGTTTCCTTCTTCCAAGAGATCTTCATTTCAACACTGGTCTTTTGGAGATAGTAAATTCAAAGGTCGGGATTGAGTTTTATAACCCTAGTCAGCTTGCTAGGCAATTCGGCCTGACTCAAATAATTCCCATGCCTCCTTATCTCTCTTTTAACAAAAATTTCAATCGACGTGTGGTATTCCTAGATGAATCTTATGTTAAGAATGTATCTTCTTAGTTTTCTAGTTTACAGGCTAAATTCAGATTCCAACCCTTCATAAAAAACGCAGCCTCAGATTCCAGTTTTGACCAATGGTGGTCTTCTTACATTACCTCTACCAGGACGGCTGAGTGCCAACCCCTTGTTATTAAAATCTTAGAGTCATTTAAATTCATATATGTGGCCTTTGAGGGGGCATTCAAAATTACCAGGGCTGTTACTCCAAAAAAGGTACCCCAAAAAGATCATCCCAAAGGCAAGAAACAAATAGCCAAGAAACTTCCTTTCTCTCAGCCAACAGATGCTCCAACAAGTATAAACAAAGAGAGAAAAGCTAAGGCAAAGGCCACAGTCAGCCTTCTCAAAGGTATACTCTTCTTTTCTTTCCATATATATATATATATATATATATATGTTTCTTTAAAAGTTTTGAATTAAATTTCCTTACCCCTTTGCAGATTCAGACGATTAAACTTTATCAGCCTCTCTTAACCTAGAAAATGTTGAGCTTCAAGATGATGAGATCTCCTCCATCCAACCTTCTCAGCCTGCAGTAACTGAATCAACCATTAAACCTGATATTCCTCCAGCCCCTCCAGTTATAGGCAAGGTAAACCATATCGGCTGTATTATTAAAATACTTGGCCAATATCGATACTTAACCTCATCGGCCGAGACAATGTTTAACAAAACTTCCTTTTTTAGGGAAAAAGAAAGAAATCAACTGCCCATGGGACTTTAAAGAGGACAAAACTCAGCAAGGGTAAGAAATAAAAAATTAAAGATCCTGACAGTCCTCAGCCTACAGAAAATGTGGCTGATGATCCCATAATTGATCTGGCCGATGACCCCATCATCAATGTGGCTAATGATCATTCTGATCACTCCTCAGATGAAAAGGAGGTAATGAAATTTTTTTTTTTAAATGTTCATCACTTTTTGATAATTATCGATAGTCTTTCTCTTGCAGCAATCTCCTCTTCTCGACCTGGTTTATAGCCCAGTTAGAAACTTCAGTCCTTTAAAGGATTTTCATGATCCCACTGAGGTGCCCTTCAATGTTCAAGTCACTCCTGCCAAAGCTTCATTCCAAGGAGATAGTACAGCTATTCAGCCAAAATTTCCTCCACCAGTGACCAGTCATCAGCCACCTTTGATTGTAGACATGGCCGAATCATCTAAGGTATTGACTACTTCATAATTTTTTGTCATACTCCAAAATTTTGGGATCTAACCCCCCTCTTTTTATTTCAACAGGTTGTGCATGAAGAGACACAAATCATCCCTTCATTTCCTCCACCAAAAGTTCCTGCTTCATCACTACTAGCCTTAAGCAATTTCTTCAAAGATGTGGTAGCTTTAGTGACTGAAGAAAAAGAAAGTGAGTCTTCTGGAGCAACTCCAGTCACTTCAGCCAGTGTTCCAACTCAAACCATAGAGGAAACCAAAAGAGCTTTAGCTTAAATTTTTAAAAGAGACGTTGCTGATCTTCTTGAATTTGAGAGTAAGCTCACAGCTGTGCTTACTACGCTCAGCTAGTATCTAGACTTCCCAGTCGACCTGCAAGCCACCATAGCTACCTTCAAAGGCCAACTGCCAGCTTTGGCTGATGAAAATTTTCAAGCCAATGAATCAATCAATCAGTTCAATAAGAGCAAAAGCAGGAAGGATACTCTCGGCAATCAATTATTGACTCAAGCTTCCACCTTTGACCGAGTGAATACAGAGTTCATCAGCCTTGAGGAAAGAGAGAAAGTCCTCCAAAAAGAGATTGACCAAATTCATGCTCGTAAGGCCATCTTGTTTGCTGAGGCTGCCACATTGCAGTTTGAAGCACAAGACCTTGCTCACGAGCATGCAAATCTTCGTGAAGAATTACCTAAGTTAGAAGAATCAAAGAGGCAAGCCATGGTTGCTTTTAATCCATCCTTGGTGATTTGGGCCGATTTCAAGAAGAAATTTGCAAATATGTGAACCTTTTATTTCAACGGGACCCTTTTTGTAGCCATTTTAGTGTATGTACTCAGATGATGTAATCCTTATACACTTTAATAAATGAATGGCCTTTTTTGCTGCTTTAAACAATCATCAACACTTCAACAAGAATTTTCCTTTTTATTTAAAATTTTAACAACTATATCAGCCTATAAATAGGCCGAATTTTATTACATATGGTCAGCCAAAGGTACTGGTTGACTCTAATTTTCTCTTTCAAAGATCGTTGGCACATACCTCTTAAGGTATTTGCCATTAATAGGGTAATCATGCAATCGGCCATTTAGATACTTCAACCTGTATGGTCCTCCACTTAGGACTTGATGAACTAGATATAGCCCTTCCCATTTATAAGACCACTTTCTATATTTTCTATCAACCTTACCTACTGGCAGAATGACTTTCCAAACTAAATCTTCTTCAGGAAAAAACTTAGGTTTTACCCTTTTATTGTAAATCCTCATTACCTTTCTTTTGTGAGCTATGATATGATCCAAAGCATCCAGTCTAACCTCATCCAAGTCTTCCAACTCTGTTAACATTGCTTGAGTATAATCGGCCGGAGTTAAATTATTTTGGAATGCAACCCTGGCCGATCTAACCTTCATTTCCATAGGCAGAATGGCATCATGGCCATAAGTCAACATATATAGTGTAACCCCTGTGCCTGTTCTCTTTTAATTTTTATAGGCCCATAGAGCCTCAAATAAAGTCTCATGTCATCTTCTTGGTTTATCTTTGATCATTTTTTCAATGATCTCTATCAAAATTTTGTTTGAGGACTCGGCCTGACCATTTGCTTGGGCATAGTATGGTGTAGAGGCTGACATATGAATGTTCATATTATGGCCGAATTGTAGTACATCAACTGCCCTAAACACTGTTGCATTGTCTGAAATAAATTTTTCTGGAATTCCAAATCTATGGACAATATGTTGTTCCATGAAGTTAATCACTGTTTGTAGATCAATTGTTTTGCAAGCTTTAGCCTCAACCCATTTAGTAAAGTAATCTATAGCAACAATCACCCAGTGATGGCCTTCACTTGATGGTGGATTGACTTTACCTATAAGGTTAAGGCCCCAACCTCTAAACGGCCATAATTTGACTATTATCTGTAATTCTTTTGCTGGTACATTTTGAATCGGCCCATGTGTTTGACAGGCCTGACACCTTTTTGCATAATCTATGCAATCCTTTCTCATCCTTGGCCAATAATATCCATACCTTCGAATCAGCCATCTCATCTTTATCCAAGCTTGGTGGGCTCCACAGTTGCCTTCATGTACCTCAGCCATAACCTGAAATGACTCTTCTTTACTTATGCATTGTAGTAAAAGTCCATCCTCAAGCCCTTTTCTATATAAATCCCCATCAAGAAGTAGAAAATTGATTGCTCTTCTCTTGATACTTCTATCAGCCTTGATGTTTGGATTTCGGAGAAACATTATGAATGGTATCCTCCAATCATCATCGGCCTGATCTTCTATATCAATTACCCAGGAGTCGGCTAACATAGTATTTCTTAATTCAGCCGAAGGTAATGATCTTCGTGTGATTTTTATCAACTGTTCCTCCATTCCAATTGGTATTCTAATTCCAGATGCTGCTTGGGCCATGTTATTAGCCTCTTTATTCTGTCCTCTCAGCCAAAACTTAAGTTGAACAGTATTAAATTGATTCAACAATGAAGTGGCCAGAGAATGAAACGGCCTTAATTGCCAACTTAAACATTTGAAATCTTCAGTAATTTGACTTAGTACCAAGTTTGAATCTCCTAAAATCTTAACATCCCCAACAACCATTTCAATTAGAATTTCCAAGCTGATTATAAGTGCTTCATATTCGGCCTGATTATTTGAACATTTAAAATCTAAAAAGAATGAAAATGAAGTCTTTCTTTCGGCTGGTGAAATGATAACAATACCTGCCCCTGCTCCATCGGCCGTGCTTGATCCATCAAACATCAATATCCAAGGAGTTAGGAATATGGCTGATGACTCCAATTCATCAAATACCTGTGGATCAATTTTAGTTGAAAGATGATCGGCCAAGAAATCAGCCAGAACCCTTCCTTTAAATGATTTTTGTGGAACAAAAATAAAATTAAATTCCATCAAGGCCAATGCCCACTTACCTATTCGGCCAGTGATCAATGGCCTTGATAGCATATATTTAGTCACGTTAGTTTGACACAGAATGTAAACATCAACCGGCCGCATATATATTCTTAATTTCATGGCTGAATAATACAAAGATAAACAAAGCTTCTCAATTGAAGAATATCTGCATTCAACATCAGTTAGTACTTTGCTTAAATAATAAACAGCCTGTTCCTTCCCTAGTTCATTATTCTGAGCAAGCAAACTACCAATTGATTCTTCCGCGGCTGATAGATAAAGCTTCAACGGCCATTTCTTCCTTGGAGGCATTACTACCGGGGGGTTTGCCAAATACTCTTTGATTTTGTCAAAAGCCTTCTGATGGGATTCTTCCCAATGAAATTTCTCATGTGACTTCAATTTTAATAAAGGAGAAAAAGCATGTACTCGGCCAGCATGATTTGAAATAAACCTTCTACGAAAACCTACCTGGCTGAGAAACCTTTGCACCTATTTTTTGTTGGTTGGAGCCATAGCATTCATAATAGCTTTGGCCTTATTCTGATCAACTTCTATGCCTCGTTTGTGTACCAAAAATCCCAAGAAATTCCCGGCTGATACCCTAAAAGCACACTTTAATGGGTTCATTTTCAACTTATGGACTCTCATTCTTTCAAAGGCCTTTTTTAGGTGTTCCAAATACTGTTTTTTGGCTGATGACTTCACAACTACATCATCTATGTAAACTTCCATAAATCGGCCAATCATATCATGGAAGATTGAATTCATTACCCTTTGATAAGTAGCCCCTGCATTCTTCAGGCCGAATGGCATTACAACCCACTAAAAAGTGCCAATTGACCCAGGACATCTAAAAGCCGTTTTGTGAATATCTTCCTCGACTATGTAGATTTGATTATAACTTGAATGGCCATCCATAAAAGATAATATTTCATGCTTAGAAGCCGAATCAATAAGCTGATCGGCCATTGGCATTGGATACTCATCTTTTGGAGTGGCAATATTTAAATTACGAAAATCCACATAAATCCTAAGTTTGCCATTTTTCTTTATTACTGGAATAACATTAGACAACCATTCCACATACCTAACTGTTCAAATAAATCCTGCCTTAAAAAGTCTTTCAATTTCTTCCTTAATTTTGAGCATCACTTCCAAGGACATCTTCCTTGGTGGTTGTTTATAAGGCTGGAAATCTTTCTTGATAGGTAATATGTGTTCTACCAACTCCTTTGATAGGCCAGGCATCTCTTCGTAACTCCAAGCAAAGCAATCCTTATATTCCTTTAGTAACTTGATCAAATTGGACTGAAAATTAGGCTCAAGCAAAGCACTAACAAATAATAGCACAATGATCTTTTTCAGTACCAACATTAATTTCAAATAAAGGATGCTGCACTTCTACTTTATTATCTACCATCCTAGAAGGGGCTGATTCCAGATCTTCAATTTGGATTACATCTAATTTTTCGAAACCTTCTTGAACTATATCGGCCGTACTGGCCGATACCTCTTTATATAACAGTTCTTCTTTGGCCAATATCTTTTCAGCCAAAAATGCTTTCAGTCTTATGCAAGCGGCCCTGAAAGCTTGCCGCTTCTTCTCCTCTTTAGTTGTGTAATCCATCATAAACATCTTCAATTTCTTTGATGGTTGACCTGAAAATATCTGTGACGGCCCTGGTTTTTCAAGCCAGTGCGTCATCTTGTGATGAACCGAAGATTGACCCAATATCGGATCCGAATTGCCAAAGCAAAAATAGAAAACAAGACTCTAAGAAGTCAAAGTGACCTTCCATGAGGTCATGGAACTCAATGAGAACTGATGCGGAAGTAAAAGATAAAAAATATGACAAATAAGCCCTCAGGGGCAAAATAGTCATTTCTAAAAACTATGGACTCGGGTGCCACCGAGCACACCGCTGGAAGGACAACGAAAAACTAATCAAGTTGGACTCAAGAATCACATGATTCGGAGTCCGGACGAAGGAGAAACGTCATGACGAAGAGAAACAAGCACTTAAGGCTAAAAGGGTAAACTAGTAATTATTCAAGAAGATCCTGGTACAACCGAGCACACTGTTGGAAAGACAACGAAAAATTAATCAAGTTCAAAAAAAATTTCACTCGATTTGGAGTCCGGACGAGGGAGAAACGAGTGTTTGAAATTTTGACGTCGCGGTGGCCCGACGAAGGCCATGACATGCCCCATGCCGGCGCGCGATGGCATGCCCATGCTGACAGCAAGGGTCCAAAACAGGTTTTCCAGAACTGAGGCTTGAAACGGAGGTCAAGACGAGTTTTTCTAGAAAAACACAAAGAAGAAACCCCCCTAAAATCGAGTTTTCTGCATGACTAACGAAAGAATTAAAAAAAAGAAATCACTGTAAAATGCCCAAAATGCCCCTCCATGAAATCTAGTCATGAAGGCCAAAAAGCTGCTAAAATGCAAACTGGAAGCTAAAACTTCACGAGGGATTTCCAGTACCAAGACGATATTTTCTAGAAAAACACGAAGAAGAAACCCCCCCCTAAAATCACATTTTCTATTCAACTATGTTGAAAGAAGAAATTAAAACTGATGTGAAAGGTCTAGAATGCCCCTAGATCAGATTATGCAACAAAATTTCAAAATGAGTCCATAGGAGGCCCATTTCACCAAAGAAGAAGGTTTGCCCGGAAATGACCATGTACGCAAACGTAACTTACCTATTTGAATGCGTTACAATGATCCACAGCTTAAAAATACCACCGATACAAAATCCGACCCCCCAACGGGCAAAAAGGCAAAAATGAACAAGAAAAGGGAAATTCGAAAACCAAAATTATCAAATGATTTCAAATTACCGTTTGGCCCTTGGCCACACTTCAAACATGATTTATAAGACCCTATGAAAGAATAAGAATGGAATTCCCACACCCGATGCAAAAGTTATGAAGCAATGACGTAGCATTTTTCAATATTTTCATAATATTTCATAAAGTTAAAGTTGCATAGAATACAAGATACATGTCATTGGCCTCCGGCCTCATCTCATACATGTCAAATACATTGCATAGAGTGTACTTATGTACACATTACATAATTGGAATCAAATATACACATTTTGACATATAAGGCTACAAGTGGCATTTCAAGCTAACTTTTACAAGAATTGAAACCTTCAAGGCTACAAATCATCCAAGCAATATGAGAATCTCGAATCTTGATTCCTGTACCTGAAAAATGTCCCCACTACATGGGTGAGTAACATAAAGCTACTCATAAGAGATGAGCATGCATCGACCTAGCATTTTACAATAAGATCACCTTATGGTGAAACATGTTAAAAGGACTCATGCCACCTAACGTCTATATCAAAATGAGACTCGAGGAACATCCTAAACTACTCATGCAATTGAAATAAACTACGGCATACAAGTACACATGCCAAAGTACACTAAACCGTGTTAAAACATGATACACGACATTCAAGTACACATGCTCACAAGTATACTAAATCATGTTAAACGGCATAAGCAATATCTAGCATACATACACAAGTATAAGATATATGTATAGAGTATTCATAAATTAAGTATACAAACACAAGTATACTAAGCTAAACACATACGCACAAGACAAGTATACATGGCACAAGTATACAAAAATGAAATACGCACCCACAAGACAAGCATACTAAGCGTAAATACACTAGATAGAGTTTAGATACACCAACAAGGATACAAGTTCAAGTATACAGTTTCAAGTATACTAAATGAGATCAAAATACATAGGCAAGCACCAATTCTCAAGTTATAAGTAATCCATGATTAACAACTTGAAATTGAATGTGAAATCAAAGTAGAAAGACTAGGACATGTGGTCACTAGACCAAGCAAGTGTTTCCGGGTAATCATGCATAACACATGCATAAGTTATTCCGGGCAATTACAACCCACAAGGTACTACCTAGTGCGCACTTATGACTTAGAAGACTCTTGTCTCCATATTAGAGCCAAACCCTAGCCATCACATGAAATATGTCTTTACAAGCTTTCCAAAATCAATAAGTCCAAAACTTATACAAAAATCAATAAGTTAGACCAAACTTATACCAAATCCACTAATGCATAAAACCATCTTCCATGCACAAATAAGGTTGAATCCACACAAATCATGTCCTATAATTCAAGTCTAGATAGCATGTGACATGTCAAACCTCCAATATGCAATTTATACACCAAAACAAGAATATTTTACAACAATTGAACCACATTACCACACTAAGCCACAAGTACTAAATAAGTCCAAATTTAGTAACTAGCTTTCAAGGTAAACAATTGTAATATTCTAACAAGCTATACACCTACACAAGATATATCTAAACAAGCTATGCAAGTCAATGATATTCTATATCATGCCAAGTCTAATTACCATTTCAAGAGGTCTCAAGTACTAATTCTACATCAAATTAGTAACATGCTCACAAGGTGATTAAATAGACTACATTTCAAGGGATTATCAACCTATTACCTCCAATATCAATTTAAGTGACCAACACACTTAAAATAAAATTAATTAAGTTCATTAATTAATTTTTCTCTAGATTTTCAAACATATCTAAATTTTCTCAATTTAATATATGTTAAAGAACTCACCAAGGCCCACTTTAATATCACATTACAAGTTGGTTTCATGCTTGATACAACTAGGTGAATTAAACTTTCACAAAAGATAAATATTAAATAAAATTTGCAATTCTTATTCGAATAATCCCAATTTAATATATATCAACCACCATACCGAGGCCTAAATTTCTAGCATGCCACAATTTAATTCTAAGTTGCCTAGCATCATGAGAATTAAATCTTCAACAAAGAAAATAATTAAATTAAATTCTATAACTTGAACAAGGCATGCTCACAAGTTGTATATGCTCATATAACAATCAATACAATATTAATATAACCCTAAAACATCCCCTACCTCAATTTGAGATGAAAATCTCAAAAGCCATCAAAACGAAACAGCTCTGAATCCGACAATACTTCGGGGTTTCGTCGGGGACAACGCCATGAACAATAAACTCCAAAGAGGACCCATGAAAATCACAACTTGACTTCAAAACCAAACTCAAAATTTGGCCAGAAATGGGTTCTAATAAGGGTGAAAGAAGCGCGTAGTCAACACGAACACAGAACGCAAAGGCCCTACTATGTTCTGACAAAGAAATGAAGTTCAAATGAGGAGAGAGAAGGTGGCAGCCTCCCTTGGGCTGCCATGGAAGCTTCAGGTCGTGCAAGAGAGTGGGGAAGATGAAAAAAAT